CAAGTTGTGAGAAAAAAGCACACGGATCGCCTGATACTAAGCGGCTACTGTGGCGTTACATCTATCCTAGTTTATAATGAAAATAATATTCAAAACCGTTACCAATAAAGGCTCTCTGTCACTCACCCATACGAAAGAGCAGTATAAGGCCCGCCACATACATACGGAATTCCGTTTCGGAATACCGAACGGCCGGCCACACACAAACGGAATCCCGTTTTGCCCGCAAAATATCGAACGAAAACTACCGTACGTGTGTGGCGGATCATAGATTTTATATGGACTTGCTGCGTTCGGGATTCCGAATCGGAATATCGAAACGGAATCTCGAAACGGAATTCCGTATGTATGTGGCCGGCCTTAAGCTACAATTCTGTGCGAGCGTGGTCCTTTTCCGGTCGAGCCGACTCATTCGCGCTACAGCTGTAATATAGCTGCAGCGTACCTACAAAATACCCACTACCCTACTGAGATCGTAGAAATAAAATTTTTAGGAACAGTTTACGTGTAGGTACAGTGGATAAGACAATAACGGTGACCGTAGTGTATAAGTTAGACGTGTTTTTTTTAGATAATTAATAGAATCAGGAATTACTTTGCAGAAATCCATTATATTAAAGTTGGTAAAAATTACCTTGCGTACATCCGCTTGAAAAAATAAAATGATGTGTCTTACCTAGTTTGAAGAGCACCTCCCGCCCTCCCTCAATTGCGTGCACTATCCCCGTCACCACTAATCCCAGCACCACTACACTAGGAAAGACACACCACTTACGACAATACGAGGCGAAACACGTGCCATTATTCATTTTATTTTATCGAGCGGATGTACGCAAGGTAATTTTTACAAACCTTAATACGTGGTTTTTTAGCCCGCGTTTTGCGGAGCTCTGCGATGTTAGCACCTCATGTGCGGAATTTCGATTGACCAATTATACCATCTGAAAGGTCAGAAATTGGTCATGAAAGTTCAGTTGATCTTATTAATTGGTCAGCGTTAGAAACATTTTTATTAAGGGTTAAAGTTTTCAAGGTCATTGAGAAATTTTAGCACCTCATTCGCGAAAAAAATAAAAAATATACGCGATCGAGAAGCATTCGCTTATAATTGGTCAGCTTATATAAATATTTGGTCAGTTAAATTTAATATTAAATTTTTTTTAAATAAGTTGGCATTGTCGTAAAGCGCATGCATTGAGACGGTAAATTGTAACTCAATCTATTTTTAAAACTCTTCATCTATCATCTGGGAAGTCATGGAATATAAATGACAGTAAAATTTTGTTTTGATTAATTTTTTCAATTATTTTTTTTTAGTATATTTTTCAATTATTATTTTTTAATTATATATTGCTATTTAACTATTATATATATATTGTTAAGAAATGGAGAAATTTTCGGTTTTAAGCAAACTTGTACTAATATATTTTAGAGTATTAATATAAAGTTAGAGTTGAAAAACTGAAATTGTAATAAATGTATTTTAGTAATTTTTATGTAAATAAAATACTTCTAATTTTAAAAAAAAACCGGCCAAATTCGAGTCGGACTCGTGCACCGAGAGTTCCGAACAAATCCGTAGGCATATAAGTTTAAAATTATTAAAAATATTTTTATTATATGATGTAACTAAAAATTTATGCTGTTCGCAATTTTTCCTTTATCTGTGCTATAAAACGTTGCTTTGTACCAAATTTCAAGATTCTGAGTTCACGAGAAGTACCCTGTAGGTTTTGATTCCCTTGCGAATGTCGAAAATTTGCGGCATAAACGGCTGTATCTTTTGATTGTATTGGCTTATAAGTTTGATTTTTTCACAGCTCGAAGGGACAGTAGACTTGAGTATTTGAAATGAATTTCAGCTTGATACCTCCACGCGTTCCTGAGAAAAAAGGTCTTGACAGACAGACAGAGGGACAACAAAGTGATCCTATAAGGGTTCCGTTTTTTTCTTTTTGAGGTTTTTGAGTTCAAAAATCATGTTTATATAAAATTATTATAAAATAAGCTAGTTAACTATCATCCCCCAAATCCCATGCATGCATTTTCACCTTCACGTAGTTTAAAAAAATATCCTATTTCTTTCTCCACTATTATATATTTGATAGTAGAAAATGTGTAAGTTTTTTTTTCAACAAAAATATAAAGAATATCCCCCCCCCCCCCTCCGTCTCGCTCATAGTAAAGAGCCGTGCGTAAGCGCTCACTGTCCTGATACAATTAACCGTCCCAAAACATGCGCGTTACGACAATGCCAACTTATTTAAATTTTTTTAATATTAAATTTAACTGACCAAATATTTATATAAGCTGACCAATTAACAGCGAATGCTTCTCGATCGCGCATATTTTTTATTTTTTTCGCGAATGAGGTGCTAAAATTTCTCAATGGCCTTGAAAAACTTTAACCCTTAATAAAAATGTTTCTAACGCTGACCAATTAATAAGATCAACTGGCCTTTTATGACCAATTTCTGACCTTTCAGATGGTATAATTGGTAAATCGAAATTCCGCACATGAGGTGCTAACATCGCGGAGCTGTTTTGCGGCTATAGTATATGCGGTTCAGTATCTCACTTTTTTATTTTATTCAGTGTATTGTGCAAGGCTTTTGAATACAGAGAACACTAACATGATAGGAACAACGATAAAGGAATAGGAAACAGATTTGATGGAAAGTGAAACACAGTTAAAGTTGCAGTCTTTAATGATAGAAAAATTGTTTATATTCACTAACAAATTTGCGTGTTAGGCTCAATAACCAAAATAGGTGGGCAGTCATGTGTTACTTTACTAATCTTACTTTCAATAAAAAATTAAAATATACCTAGCATATTGATTTGGTGTGGTAGGTATCCTATACCTATATATACCTATTTTTTATTAGTCTAACAAAAAAACAGTTTTAACAGATACAATTCAAAATACAATATATTGGCATGTATGTATGCAGGACTTAACATTGTATTACCTATGTATAAAATAAATGTTATTTTTTTATAATATGATAATCAAGGCATCTGTTTTTTTCTGGAAATATATCACATTTACTTTATTCAAAACATACCAAAAGTATTAAATTTTTTTTTTAATATCATGTAATAATGTTCAGCTTATTGATTGCTTTACATTTTTTTTCTCAATACATAACTTGTCAATCCCTAAGTTGGACAATGGCGGGAATTATACATGCCTGTACCACAGTCTAACTACTATTAACAGTCGGTCATCGAAGGCGTCTAGACGGGGCAATCATGCGGTGCAGTGCGATACGCGAGCTGAGCACTTCTCAAGCGGCCCTTAGCCGCTCGGGAACTGTTCGCTATAGTTGTCGTCACGCAAATAAATTAAAATGGTTCACACTACATGTGCGGTAGAAATCTGCGGTAGACGACCAGATCATTTAACGATAAGGAATTAGTTTCATCAGTTTCCACATACACATTAATTTCTTTGAACTTGAAATAAAATAAAATCAGTTTTTTATTACTTCCCGTTCTGACAACCCTAGCAATTTATTGTTTATGTCGGCTTTTCCGACAACATCAAACGCGATGACCGACTGTATGTACTTCTTATGGTGCCTTTCCTCGCTTGCCAAGCCTCGGCAAACGTCTTCAAGCCCCAAGCGTCCACAAATCTCGTATGGCGTTTGGAAGTTGTTTACATGCTTGTGAATGCGTCAGTGTGCTACGTATATCCAAGTATGGCGGACACCGAACTTGTGTCGGCTATTGCGTTTGGTTCTATTTGAAATACAAAAACAAAGAATTTTTTGGCTTTTAATTCTTTTACTGGCTTTCCCGTTAACTCGGCAAGACGACTCCAAGCATTTGCAACTTTCTAGAACAAAGAACTAAACATGCGCTCGTCGCAAAATCCCAATGGTTACTAAACGCGCACCAACGTGTGAATGCGTTGCAAGCGCTTGCCGTAAGCGCCGTTTGATCTGTGTCCAAAAACCGACACTAGCCCGGATTGGGGACAAGCGTCCACAAGCTCACGCAAGCCAAGCCAAATGCCCTCTTTACACACTTGTGCTTGTGGATGCTTGCCGAGACTTTGCAAGCGTGGAAACCCGGCATTAGGTTGTGCCTCTACCTTGCACAATGGCATACCATCTACTCTGTATAAGTCAAATAGTATTTCTGTAGCTCTGTCTGTAGCAAGTAGATTGCACGACATGTAATATGCATCAGTGGTGGTGGGAAGCTGCAAGTAGCATAACAAAAGGCACTAGTGAATGCAACCGACAACTAGGGGCATGCCAGTAACTGGCAAGCAGTCGAAAAACGTGTATAAGGTCTTTTTATTTCGTTTCATTCGTTTTCGTAGGTGATCTTGATGACGAGGTCAGAAAACTATAATCGTTGATTGACCCATTGGGAAACTTAATAAATTTGCTGCACAGGCTTTTGTTAGTGTCCAAGTGGCGTGGTACTGGCTCATGTATACCTCTTACAAGTTACTGGTATGCTAAGGAGTAATTTGCATGCAATTTTATTTGCAAATGTATCCTGAGTGTGCCAATTACTGGCATGTGTCATTATTTTATATGCAGGCTATTGCCCTAACTTGATGACTTGTCTATTCCTGGCATAGTACTGAAAATATTATCATCTCTAAAATGAAAGGAAGGCACTGTCAAGCAGCGGAACTTTGGTTTCAAAACTTTATGGGTGGCAACAAACATGTTTGTACTAAATATATAGTTAGCATATAAATTACTTTTTATTTTTTCATACTATGGGCTTGTCACTTTAATTTCCTATGTGAATTACAAAGGAGAAATATATCTCCTCTTTGTCCTGTATAACTGGAAAAGCATCTACTGCTTTTATCTTTTATTTTTTATTAATGTAGCAAAAGATGTTTAATTTTCTTTTAATCTACAAAATGTCAGTACATGAAATGCATCAATATTCTAATATTACAAAGTTCTACGTAGTTTTTTCCCTGTGTTGCAAATTTAAATTTAATTTGCTAATAAAAACATATATTAAGTTTCGGAATTATTTTCTATATCTTTATCTACTTCAGCCTTCCTCATTTTCTTTGCCCTGATATCTGCCATTGTTTGTTCAATAGATCGTTGGTCTTTTTTATTTTCACTAGGTACTTCACCATAGCTTTTATTAACATTTGTTTTTTGTGCTGCACCTAAAGCTGCTTCTTCACCAATAAGGTGTGCATATTTTTGCTTATAAAATGTCCCACTCAATTCTTCCTTGCCATGCTTTCGTTTTCTATTCTTTTCTTCTTCATTCTCCAAGGCGGCTTGCTTTTGCATTTCTATATTCCTCAGAGCCATCTCGGCTGCTTTATCCTCGTTCCAAATTCCTCCAGCCCGTCTAACTGTAAGCTCATCCTCTGATGGCCCCCTATCTTTGGCGTAAACCACTGAGTATCTGTCTATGCCTTCTTGTCCAAACGAGTATATTTGTACGCCAGCTGCCTCACCCACATCGCGAATTATCGACCGATAAGCATGTTCCATAGGCTCAAATTGTAAATAAGGTTTTGTACCATCTCTTACGAAGTTACTTATTTTCTCTTCAACTCGTTTCCTAAACTTGTTTAACATATGGATTTCTTCTTTTTTTTTACGCTCCATTGCTTCCTTTTGTCTTTTGAGAGCATTTTTTTGAGCTTCACTGGCAGCAGGCGGTTTTTGCATAGAATTTAGAATAGAGTCTAGTAAATCCATGGTGCTAAATTTGATTTTCAGAACAAAACGATGTGTAAGCTAAAATTTCTCCAACACGCCTTTGCCACTTAGAAGAGATTTTAAAATTGTCTACTTGTGAGTCACTGTTAAGGCCTCTGAGTGCAAGAACATTTAATGATGTTTCTATATGCGCACAAAATTCACTTCCATATGTTATTGTTTCATCAACAAAATTTAATAGTTGTTTTAGAGGGGGTTGAAGCGGGGTCCCCTTAACAAGTAAGCTCTGTTCAGAAAAATCTATTCCTTTACAACTTTCTTTAAGGGTGTTACCTTTGTTACAAAGTTTATCAAAAGAGTCTTCAATTACCAGTCTGAAAAAAAAAGAGGTTTTTAATTGCAATGCTCAGCATAATACATGGATTGTCTACCCCTCAACAAAATAAAAACGAGTATGAAAAACAAAACCATTACAGCCAATTTAAAGTCGACTGCAGTTTTTTAATTTTTTGTTCTTAATAGATAAACGCTACTGCCCATCTGCTGGTTTGTTTCCCCCAGTCACCTTTTACGACACCTATGGTACGAAACTGGGTAGTGGATATTCTTAAACCGTCACTACATCATAGAAAAACGAAATAAAGGTGATTAAATATAGCAACTAAATGTAAATATGGAATTAAAATCCATCCATAGCCACAAGCTTGTCACCATATTTGTCTGTTGACATTTCTTTTACACTCCGTCCATTATCCATTACAGTATAAATGTCCACTGCTGAATATAAGCCTCACCCTAGATTGCCTCATAAAGAATATTTTGTCACAGTTGCCACACTTCGATGGCAGGTTGGCAATCACAGTTTTTGAACACAGACCGGTAGTGATACACCATCTAAGTAAATTTGAGAGAATTAGAGTGACCACCAAAATGGCAGAACAGGTGCTAAGTTTTAGTTCCTCTGGACCTATAGTGCATTTTTCCCGATGACAGTGCATCCATTACCACGAGGAACATTAGGGGCTTGAAGCTGATCCCTGGTGCAAGCCACTGAAACATTGAACGTCTTCCAGCTTCAGACAAAAGATGCGTGCTGACTCTGCTATATATCACACAGATAATCAGAACATACTTTCCTGGCACTCTTTTCTGTTTCAATGCGCACCAAAGAAACTTTTCAAGGTTTTCTCATTGTTTTTCTGTATGTTTTCGTTACATTTTTTTATTTCTCTGTTGTCCATCAAAACCTTGCCTGCTTTATCCTTTATACATAGGTATATTTAAAAAAATATTTAGAAGACTTTTGTTCGTCCACTGAGACATTGGTGTAGCATGACAGATATTTATTAGCCCTAAAACCCCTCTTAGAAATGGGATGTTTGTGCCCATTATTGGGATGCATATACACTATTATTTTACTGTCTGTCTGTCCTTCAAATCCGAATTCAGCAATTTATTTTAAACTAACCTCCCGATGAGCTGGAAACTTGAAATTTTGAATTTAGCCCAAATTCAGATGACAATGCACGAATATAACAAAAAACGAGGTAAAAATTAAAAAAAAAACTTGATAATTGAACTTGGCATGTAGTGCCAATTATTATTGCTACATAGCCTTTTAGTAAAGTTTTGTTTTTATAGGATAGGGTGACAAACAAGCACACAGTCCACCTGATGGTAAGTGGTTGCTGTGGCCCATAGACATCTGCATTTATCCTCGTTTGTGAATCAAAATACAGATCCATTATCACTTGTGAGGACTAAGATAGAATGCCACTTTTCCAGTAAAAAGGGTCTCCGGTTCTCTACACTCACCATACGAAACACAGCAGCATGAAGCTGCTGTTTTACACTGGTATTCTGTGAGAGCGTGGTCCTTCCCCGGTCCAGGCCTACCATCAGGTGGACTGTGTGCTCGTTTGTCACTCTTACACTATAAAAAAAATGCCTCATCTGATTTTCTCTCAATCTACTGTATAGATAAATTTCAAATTTGACAAAACTTTTAGAAGAATGAACCAGACTGATTGTAATTATTATGCATAAATATTTAGCAACATACCTTATAGTATGACTTAATAATTTATGATGGGATTATCCATTCAATGTATACAGTTTACAGATAATATTTTATTAACTGTTTTAGTGTATTTTCATATACTTACGCCTTACTTCGAATATCATAGATTTCCTTCGAGATGAGGTTATGTAGATATGTTGCCAATTTATTCCGAAGATCAACAAAGTCTTCTAATGGCGTACCAGAAAGATCCGCTCTAAAAGGAACGCATTTTATTTTAGAACTTCAATCCAATAAGAATTACAATGTCTAAACAATAATTTCTTACTGCTTAATGTTGTTACAGCGCTGAATAAGTTTATTAATAGATACTGCGCAGTTTTGGCAAGATTTCAAACACGTTTTGGATGTATTATGAAATTCTTCAAAAGTTGAAAAATAATCGATAATTTGTTTCTGCACTTTAGTTTCCATTATACGAATTATAATACATTTTGTTATCTCCCGTATACTTGATAATAGTTTAAGCCCAACGAATAACAGAAGCACAAGCAGAAAGCAGAAACAGATATTTTTCATAGATAAATATATATGTAGCAAGCTACAGATACGACAGTGACTTTTAGTCAAGTTTCCCAACTATGCCTTTTGGCGCTGCAGTCGCCCAGTTTGACAGATGAGTGATAAAATAAAAAAAAATATAGCTTAGGGATTGCAAGCACACATCCTTCAAATCATCGATATCGATATTTAGCGATGTTCTTATTTTATCGATATCAACGTAACGACGCATTATATAGTTATATTAAAATATTACTTAATGAAACAATTTTGGTACATAAACATTTATTTTTTATTCAAGCACACCAATATCATATACATACACACGTAATCTTAGGATTAAATTAAAAGTACATTGGGTTATATTAAAAATGTACATAACATTGTATATAGGCAGAATTTGACGAAAACAGAGCAATATTTATTGTTCATTAGATAAAGCAAATAGCAAATTAAAGAAATTAAACCACAGGAATCATATTTAATCATAGTGTAAGTAATATTTTACTTTACAAGTTACTTTTTATATTAATTTTAAAACAGCTACAATTCAAATGGTTATGAATTAAAAGAGTACCTTCCCTGTATAAGATAAAGAACTTTTCGCTAGGGTATGCCAAATTATTATTTGGTCTATATAACATTTGTTTGTTAGGCAAGACAAACATTTTTTCTAAGTTTGTAGTGTTTGGAGCTTTGTTTCATTAGTAGACATCCTATTAATTTTTCATTTAGGGTAAACCTGGCCATTTTTTAAATTGTTTTAATTACATTAATAATAAAGTTATTTGTTTAACATTCAACTTCTCTATATTTTGACAGAGATTGGACAATAAGCAAGCTTTTGTGAGGCTTAGTCACCTAAAGATTCAGTTACAAAATTTCAATATTTTATATACCAATTGTGCCCGTGTAACCTTATTAATATATTGATGAAAGTTTTTTTACAATGAAAGCATGCTTATTATATCCTAGCCAGGAAAAACTCAAAGTGCTCAATATTTTACTTTTAACATTACTTCTGATACAGCTATAATTCAAATACTTATGAATAAAGTGAGTATCATCCCTGTACAAGATAAGTAATTTTTCGGTAGGGTATGCCAAATTATTATTTTTCAACAATTTATGCTCTAGATTTTATGTAAGAGTGAATATTTGTCTCTGTACTGCTGTTTTGATGCAATCCTTACAAGGAATACCTTTCGATATTTTCCGACAAATGTATCCAGCAGTATAAGCTGAGCAGTGGTATTCAATTTTTTCCATGACTACATCACCCACAAGCAATTTTTCTCTTGAAGTTGCTTGTGAAGAGGACAGGAGAGCTAGCAAAACATTAGGAGTGTTTTCAGAGTAATTTTCTTTATTATTATGAACATTTTTGAAAAGACCGCTAACATTTAATAATGTGTCTCCATAATCCTCTTCGCAATTAGAGAATTTCAAATGTGGACTAACCATGTTAGATAATATCAGATATTTAAAGGCATATATAAATATGTTTGCATCTAGGTCAACATTTCTATAATCTATAACTATTATACATTCAAAAATAAATTTCTAAAGGGTCTTGGCTAATATTTTTGTGATAATAATATTCTACATTATACTGTTCAAATAATAATTATCAACAAGTTTACAGTAACAAGTTATCCTTCCTTGTTGGGATGGCCCTCGCACAAGTCGAGGTTTTCCTACTTGGATAGCATGTTTGCTACTATATAGCATGGTGTCTACAAAAATATTTTTTTTTAATTTTGTTAATGGCTTCAATCCAAAAAGTGTGATGTTGTAAATTTTGTTTAACCACTTGTCTTAACTTTTCTCTTTGCACATCAACCGGGTAGCCATTGACATTGTCAGTGTGTCGAAAAATTCAACAACTTCTGCTGTTGAGGCCATTGTTGCGTCAGAGTTTGCATAATGAAAATAATCTGAAAAAAAAAATTTGTAGTGTGGCTCACGGTATCCACTAATGTAATATCAATTATAAATTTAATGTAGTAATAAACAGCACTTGGCAGATACAGGTTGTCTCATTTAATAACGTCATTACATGGCGACCTTGAGAGGCGAGCTGGCCAACGATAGTAATAAACTCATAATAAATATAAGACCTAATAAATACACACATTACCAAAATGAGGAAAATATTACATAGTGCCATAAAAAGTTTTGGGAACAAGTTGTATATAAATATTTATAAAATAAAGTAAAAAATATAAAATAATGAGGCAAAGAGACAGCTAAGAAGACTTGAGACGAGAAAAGAGGATTCCTTTTTAATAGGATAAGGGTAACAAACGAGCACACAGTCCACCTGATGGAAGGTGGTTGCTGTGGCCCATAGATATTTATATCTATCCTTGATTACTAATCAAAATGCAGATGCGTTGTCACCCGTGAGGACTAAAATGGAATGCCTCATTTCCAGTAAAAAGGGTCTCCTGTTCTCTACACCCACCATACGAAACAACAGCATTAAGCTGCTATTTTACGCTGGTATTCTGTGAAAGCGTGGTCCATTGGTTTAGTTATAGCACGAACCATTCGTGCTACAACTAGACCACTAATATAGCTGCAGCATGGCTCTACCGCTTAAAAAATTGATGACAGAGATTACTTTTTTTTACTCAGGTTAACTTTCAAAAAGAAGGTGACAGGCATCATCATAAACTCTCACAAATTTTAAGTGATATAAACAAAAGTTGTACTTTAACCTTTACTTTTCTTATTCGTCTTTGCCTTCTATCATTATCTCTGTCTACGTCTATAATGTGTGGTACTTATATATTACTTTCACAAACATGTATATTGTATTTCTTTACCTGACTTGTTTTGTGTGGTGTACAGTTTAGCTTAGTATCTACTTAACTATCTATTATATTGATAGGTTTAAGCGGATGGCATCCTTGAATTCCTTAGTATATTTATAGAGTTAATTTTAGCACTAACAAAGTTTGATTGTTACAGTGCCATTTGTTAATTTAAGGGAAACCTGTTATTGGCAATACTACATTACACATAGTTATAAGATATACAATTTGTAAGGCTGTTGGTTTTCTTAATAAAATAAATAAAAAGAATATTGGTTGAGAAGATATAAATTGAAGTACACAGTGGTATTCACATAGGGAATTTTAACATAATCAAACCAACCGTGGAGTAAAACAAATAAGAACACAATTATAAATTATGTTTCTAAAAAATTCTCGAGAATTTAATCAAGTGATCAGTTTTAGGAGAACTGAATTTTTGTGTTTTATCTATAAGAAAACAGGAAAAATGTTAATTTCAATCTTTTACCATTACTCATTTTTTAGATGGAAAACTATTAACACAAAGGAAGTGCTACTTGTATATTCATATCCTTATTATTTAAGCTTCATTATTTTGATATCAATGTGTAATGAAAAGTAAATTATGTGATTTATTACATAATATTTTTTTAAGGTCGAAGATTATTTTATAGTATATTTTAAGTGGCTTAGAATATTCCATAAAGAAATACAATTTTGTTTCTAAAATTTGTAAACCATTTCACATTTTGAATAACTCCCAGATCTAGGTACAATTTAAATTAGAAAAGTTAAGTTCCATCTGTATAGGATTTATTTCTCTGTACAAAACATTAATTTGATATAGTAATTAATTGTAATTTCTATACCTGATTTACCTAGTATTAGCAAAGATATTAGTAAAAAAAATGTAATTTATACCATTTTTTTTTTCAAAATTTCCGATAGGTCTTTATTTCTTGACAGGCATTGGGCTTTAACAAGTCTGAGAAACTGAGTCACCTAAAGTTTTAGTTGCAATCTTTGTCAAAATTTTAACCAATTTTCTCCTTTGATACTATTTTCTTCATCAATGTAACCTGTAATGAAATAAATAAAATAATTAAGTACTATATTCATATTTTGTAACTGAATGATGAACATAAAAATATTAATTTATTATTTAGAACTTTTGATGTGTTTGACTTGTTTTGACCATCCTATAAAAGCCCTTGCATTTAGAATAAGATTCATTATAGTTCTCATCGTAGTAATGTAATCACGTAGTTAAGGAAGTCAGTATTGCACTGAATTAATTTTAATACATTACTGTAATGTAATAGTTATTAAATGTCATTGAGATATATTTGTAGTTTTTAAAAAGCTTCACCACCACTCCCGAAACTTAACTGGCGCAGCCAGCTCACAGCTTACAGCTGAGTTCAAGTACACTCAAATTGGTCTTGTCCACAGTTCCGGATATCCTCAAACCAAATAAGTTTGTTAAATCAGGAGCTGAAGAAACCTTCCTATTCAGACAAGAGGAGATCTACAGGTAGACGTGGCAGTGAGCGAACTGTAAATAAAGCGTTTTACTATCCTGTCTCATTGTAGTTATTTCCTGTGGTTATTTCTTTATGGCTCTATGTTGTGACTTTTGAACTAAAATCGTTGAAAGTTATTTGATTTCTGCACAAAACTTGGCAGTTATTTATTAGGTAAATATTATTATAAAGAAAAATAAAATGGATTAAATAAAAATAATGTACTTAATTATAATCTTAACATTTTCACTGTCCGGTTGGCAGACACAATAGTAAGACAATAGCAGTGCCCTATATGTAGTGCACGGGACAACAAAAGGGTTAAGAAGTGCTAAAATTATAGAAAGAGAATAATTAACAGAATATTTTTGTATACTTGTATTGATTTTTAAATAAAAATGGAACAGAGAAGAGAAAAAAGTATGTCACTTTCTTCAAATTAGACCTAAGGATCTAAAAATGCTTGATCAGCATGTTTGATGGCGATCAAAGTATTTCAAGTTTATTTAATATATTATAAGATTTTTTATGGCATCAACAAGATTATACATACAAACTAAATAATATTATATATAACAATTACCTTATA